GGGGTCTGTCCAACAAGAAGATATAACCATTGTAAATATCTATGCACCCAATATAGGAGGACGCAAATGTGTGCAACAAATATTAACAGAATTAAAGAGGTAAATAGAATGCAATGCATTCATTTTAAGAGAGTTCAACACACCACTCACTCCAAAGGACAGATCAACCACACAGAAAGTAAGGAGACAGAGGCACTGCAAAACACTTTAGAACAGAAGGACCTAACAGACATCTACAGAACAATCCACCCAAAAGCAGCAGGATACACATTCTTCTCAAGTGCACATGGAACATTCTCCAGAGTAGACCACATATTAGGGCACAAAAAGAGCCTCAGTAAACTCAGTAGGATTATAATCATACTAACAAGCTTCTCAGACCACTAAGGTATGAAACAAAATAAATTACGGAAAACAAACAAAAGCCCACAAACAAATGGAGGCTTAATAACATGCTTCTAAATAATCAATGGATGAATGACCAAATAAAAACATTAAAAAAGCAATATATGGAGACAAGTTAGAACAACTGCTCAACACCCCAACTTCTGTGGAACACAGTGAAGGCAGTTCTAAGAGGAAAGTATATAGCACTACAGGCCTATCTCAACAAAGAGCAATCCCAAATGAACAGTCTAAAATCACAATTAATGAAACCAGAAAAAGAAGAAAAAAAGAGGCCCAAAGTGAGTAGAGTGACATAAAAGCCAGAGAAGAAATAAAAAAGTATAAAACATAAAGAATTAATGAAACCAAGAACTGGTTCTTTGAGAACATAAACAAAATAAATAAACCCTGAACAAGAATTAAAAAGAAAAAAAGTCTATACACACATGAACAGAATCAGAAATGAGAAAGGAAAAATCACTATGGACACCACAGAAATGCAAAGATAAATTGGATAATCTAGAAGAGATGGACAATTTTTTAGAGAAATATAACCTTCCACGATTGACCCAGTAAAAAACAAAATCTGAACGGACCACTTACCAGCAATGAAAATGAGTTGGTAATCAAAAACAACCTAAAAACAAAACTCCCTGACCAGTTAGCTTCACCACTGAATCTTATGAATCATTTAGAGAAGACCTAATACCCATCATTCTTAAAAGTTTTCCAAAAAGTAGAAGGGGAGGGAATACTTCCAAACACATTCTATAAAGCCAGTATCACTCTAATACCAAAACCAGCCAAAGACACCACAGAAAAAGAAAATCACAAAACAATATCCGTGATGAACATAGATGCAAAACTATTCAACAAAATATAAGCAAACCAAATTCAAAAATATATCAAGAGGATCATGCACCATGATCAAGTGGGATTCATCTCAGGGATGCAAGGATGGTACAACATTCAAAAATCCATCAACATCATCCACCACATCAACAAAAGGACAAAAACCACATAATCATCTCCATAGATGGTGAGAAAGCATTCAACAAATTTCAACATCCATTCATGGTAAAAACTCTCAACAAAATGGGCATAGAGGGCAAGTACCTCAACATAATAAAGGCCATATATGATAAACCCACAGCCAACATCATACTGAATAGTGAGAAGCTGAAAGCTTTTCCTCTAAGATCAGGAACAAGACAGGGATGCCCAACTCTCCCCACTAATATTCAACATACTACTGGAGGTCCTAGCCACGGCAATCAGACAGAACAAAGAAATACAAGGAATTCATATTGGTAAAGAAGTTAAACTGTCACTATTTGCAGATGACATGATATTGTACATAAAAAACCCTAAAGACTCCACTCCAAAACTAGTAGAACAAAGATCAGAATTCAGCAAAGTTGCAGGATACAAAATTAATATACAGAAATCTGTGGCTTTCCTATACACTAACAATGAACTAATAGAAAGAGAAATCAGGAAAACAATTTTGTTCACAGTGGCATCAAAAAGAATAAAATACTTAGGAATAAACCTAACCAAGGAAGTGAAAGATCTATACCGTGAAAACTACAGGACACTCTTAAGAGAAATTAAGACACTAAGAAATGGAAATTCATCCCATGCTCCTGGCTAGGAAGAAATAATATCGTCAAAATGGCCATCCTGCCCAAAGCAATATATAGATTCGATGCAATCCCTATCAAATTACCAACAGCATTCTTCAATGAACTGGAACAAATAGTTCAAAAATTCATATGGAACCGCCAAAGACCCTGAATAGCCAAAGCAATCCTGAGAAAGAAGAATAAAGTAGGGGGGTCTCACTCCCCAACCTCAAGCTCTACTACAAAGCCACAGTAATCAAGACAGTTTGGTACTGGCACAAGAACAGACCCACAGACCAGTGGAACAGAATAGAGACTTCAGATAGTAACCCAAACATATATGGTTAATTAGTATATGATAAAGGAGCCATGGACATACAATGGGGAAATGAAAGCCTCTTCAACAGCTGGTGCTGACAAAACTGGACAGCTACATGCAAGAGAATGAAACTGGATCACTGTCTAACCCCACACACAAAAGTAAATTCTAAATGGATCAAAGACCTGAATGTAATTCATGAAACCATAAAACTCTTAGAAAAACACATAGGGAAAAATGTCTTGGACATAAACATGAGCGACTTCTTCATGAACATATCTCCCCGGGCAAGGGAAACAAAAGCAAAAATGAACAAGTGGGACTATATCAAGCTGAAAAGCTTCTGAACAGCAAAGGACACCATCAACAGAACAAAAAGGAATCCTACAGTATGGGAGAATATATTCATAAATGACAGATCCGTTAAAGGGCTGACATCCAAAATATATAAGGAGCTCACATACCTCAACAAACAAAAAGCAAATAATCCAATTACAATATGGGCAGAGGAGCTGAACAGACAGTTCTCCAAAGAAGAAATTCAGATGGCCAACAGACACATGAAAAGATGCTCTACATGCTAGTCATCAAATTAAAACCACAATGAGATATCACCTCACACCAGTAAGGATCACCTCCATCCAAAAGACAAACAACAACAAATGTTGGCGAGGTTGTGGAGAAAGGGGAAGCCTCCTACACTGCTGGTGGGAATGTAAATTAGTTCAACCACTGTGGAAAGCAATATGGAGGTTCCTCAAAAAGCTCAAAATAGAAATACCATTTGACCCAGGAATTCCAATTCTAGTAATTTACCCTAAGAATATAGCAGCCCAGTTTGAAAAAGACAGATGCACCCCTATGTTTATCACAGCACTATTTACAGTAGCCAAGATATGGAAGCAACCTGTGTCCATCAGTAGATGAATGGATAAAGAAGATGTGGTACATATACACTATGGAATATTATTCAGCCATATGAATAAAACAAATCCTACCATTTGCAACAACATGGATGGAGCTAGAGGGTATTATGCTCAGTGAAATAAGTCAGGCAGAGAAAGACAAGTACCAAAGGATTTCACTCATATGTGGAGTATAAGTACAAAGAAAAACTGAAGAAGGAACAAAACAGCAGCAGAATTTACCAAAGGAAAAGGGGCAGCGGAGGATGGGTTGGAAGGGAGGAATAAGGGCAGGGAAAAAGAAAGGGGGCCTTACGATTATCATGTATAATTTGTGGGGGGCTTGGGGAGGGCTGTGCAACACAAGGAAGACAAGTAGTGATTCTACAGCATCTTATTACGCTTATGGACAGTGACTGTAATGGGGTTTGTGGGGTGAAGAGGGGAGTCTAGTGAACAATGTTCTTCATGTAATTTTAGATTAATGATACCAAAAAAATGTAATGAAAAAAATCCTAATAAAAAATGCATGGCTGAGTATATAAAATATCAATAGAGAAATGACAGATTAGTAAGAAATTTGTGTAAGGTATGTGACAAAGGGATCATTTTGAAAATATATGGAATCAACAAATAGTAAAACAACGGGGAAAGAAAATAAGCACTTCACAATGAAAGAAAAGTAGTTAAATAAAAAAAATACACACAAAATTCTAAATTAAAAATTCTACCTTTTTGTCATAGTTAAACTATGTATATCTAGCTATGTTTTTCACATATCAAAATGTGATGGAGTAAATAATAGTGGTACGTCCATTATTAATGTGTATATATAACATCTATAATATAAACATTTTAAAAATCAGTGATACAAAATATAGGTATGTTAACATCCAGACTAATCACATGCCAATTTTCTGCCCGTATTTTAAAGATTATAAATGGCAGAGGAATTGTGGGAGCTGTCAAATAGTGGTGGTACTATTTACTACTTTGGTAATGTTTTGAGTATTTTATATATTTATATATATATGACATTAAATATATATATATATATATTCTTTGGTAATGTTTTGAATGTTTTAAGCAAGTGCATATATTGTCAATAAAGATTATATTCTCACACAATTTGTTTTAAACCCTCGTGCCACTGAAATCTATTCATTTTGTTTTATATTAATACTTGAATTTTCTCATCTTATTTCACATGCCCTATTTTGTAATACTATGTGAAATAATAATGGTAAGAGGAAAACCGTAATTACTGATTTTAATTCAACTTTATTTCCATTTAAAATGTCATTGCTATTAAAGAAATGATTATATTAGGTTTTCTACAATGCCTGTTGTAGTAAAGAATGTTGAACTGATGATCCCTTTTCAACAAATACCGATATATTGCTTTTCTTTTAATTATCCTATTCCTTGATATTCCATCACTTCTCAATCTTATTAAAATCATTACTAATTTTCATTTTTTATACTGCCAAGACACTATGAGCTAAAATGTTACTTAGGATTTTTGCATCTGTGGTCATCTAAGTGACATGAGTCAATAATTCCTCATTTTTGTATTGTATTTATTATGATGGTCATATGGTGAAGGTAATTTTTCAAATTGCGATGGAGCGATGAAAAGAAATAAAACATATTGGGAAACACTATCTTCAGGACTTGGAATAATTTTAATTAATTTAAATAATTTTAACTAATAAAATTACCTGGTCTGTAAACAGAATGAAATCAGATAGGAATCCTTTCGTGTTATCTTTACAAATCAACTTTATTCATGTAACTTACATACAATAAATTGCATCTATTTAGGGTTCAATTCATTTTGAGTTTGTACATCTGTGAAACCACTAACACAACAAAAATACAGATCATCATACCAAAAGAATGCTATCCTTTTGTTTGCCATCTTTTCCTCAACCTCTAGTCCCAGGCAACCATTTATCTGATTTTTTCACTTCACAATTTATTTGCATTTCTAGAATTTCATATAAATGCAATCATTCAGTAGATAACTCTTTCTTTTATATCTGGTGTTTTACTCAAAATGATATTAAAATTAATCTGTTGTCACATACACCAGCAGTCTATTCTTTTTTATTGCTGAAAAGTGTTGTAGCATTCATTTATGGGTATGCCACATTTTGCTTACCCACTCTTGATGGACATTTCCCAGTAGCTAAATCTGTCCCTTTTCTTAAAAAAGTTTTCCCAGGACACATTTCCCAGTGTTTGGCTTCTTCAGGCCTGAGTCGGAGCATCTGGCCACTGCCATTTTCAAAAGATTCTAGTGAAATTAGTAGGGGTGGAGTATTGGAATTGCTCAGCAAACCAACATGATCTGTAACTGTGAAAGTGGCTCACCCCGTCCAAACAAAATTAAATGACTTTCCCAAAACATACAAAATATTCATTTAAAAAATACATATTTTTTAAAACCCATATTATGTGAAGCTTAACTAAGACTAGTTTGGAAAATGTAAAAAAATGGACAGACATAAACATGTAAAAATTATGTGAATGGAGAAATACATACAAAGTTGAGACAAACAGCCCTTTTTAAAGGAGTTATTATCTTTAACATATAAAAACCTGGTACATACAAATTGACAAGACAATCCAAAAAGATAAATATAAGTGGCGTATGAAGGCAACTTAAAGAATATCAAGTTAAATGTAAAGAAGTATATTATGCAAATTAATAAAATTAGTGATCACTTTGAAATCATAAAACATAAAAACAGTTACTGAGTAGAGAAGGGGTACATTTATATGCTAACACTGGAAATATGAAACGCTACCATCTTACTCCAAATAAATCTGGATAATTTCTATTAAAAGAGGACAATTCAATCTACTCATCTCACTGCTCGAAGTATGTTACAAAGAAGAAAAAAAAGCCCCAGTAGGTAAGGGCTTGATTATGCCTTCCCACTAAGCCATTATCTGTGCCACCTCTTAGGGGTGGCTATCAGACCACTTTTCCTATAGACAAAAATGTGAATTAACAGTAGCAAGGTGGTTGAACAACTTACAGCATGTCCACATCATAGACACTTTTCAGCTAGTAAAGTTGTTGAGTACAAAAGATGCAAAAACATGTATACAATCCCACTGACAATGAAAACACATGTGTACACAGATAATGTATTAACGTGTATGTGACTGAAAGAAACAGTATGAAGCTGACTAGCATTGCTTATCTGCTGACAGCCTGTTGGTGTGGCTGGAGTTACTATGAGTGGAGAAAATACAAAATGCAAGAGATAAAATATATTCCAGAAGTCACACTTATGTAGTTTAATGTGTGCACACACGTGTGTGAAAAAATTTTCAATTAAAGGAATTGTTGGGCTATTTGTCATCATTGGTTCTAGAGACAAATGCATGAAATTATAACCAATAAATACAATGAATCATTTATGGATTTGCTTCTATTTCTTGTGGAATTTGCTTCTATAGGACTTCTGCTGTACCAAACTAGTTTCCTCCCATATGAATTTTATGGCATTTTAAGAAAATGATGTATTCTTAGAATACCTATTCTTCTCACTTATGATGTCCAGTAAGGTGGTTTTGACATATAATATGCATATACAATAATCACAGGCTTTTCTGTAGTACAAGTAATTTATAATTGGTTCACTTATGTGAGACTTTTTTGTCTCAGCAGAAATTTTCTGATAACTCCCAGGTAAAGGGTTTGATTCCAGTCCCCTTTTTTAGATTTTTCTCTCCAAAATGAATTTCTGGTGCATAATGATATTTGACCTGTTATTTCTCTCATGCGTGAATCTGCTGACTTCTCAGTGGATGATTTTCTACAGTGATAGTATTCATAAGGTCTCTCTCCAGCATATATGCTATGTAATAAAGTGTATGATTTGTGAATGAAGCCCTACCTGCATTTAGTAAGACAAAAATACTACTCTCCCCTATGAATTATCTGATGTATAATTAAACACTGCTTTGAGTGTACGTTTTCTTACATTTGCTGAATTTACAGAATGAAATTCCTTTCTGAAAAATTAAAAGTTCATTTTTTATTAGATTGTAGAACTTTTTAAATAGTTTTGCTGTAAATACAAATGAACTGTTATCAGCACTGGCATGAAAGGGTATGTCTGATTCACAGTGATTCTCGGTGAAGTCCGCAGCCTGCACGCCCTCCGTGCACCCCCACCTTGGAGCCCCACCCTGAGATCCAGCCCCCATCCCGCTCATGACTGTCCACCGTCAGCTCCCTGATCGACTGCCAAGTGTCCCTTGACATAGATAATGGAAGCCCACGAAAGAACGTTTTTCTTTCTACTACAGATTAATACTGTGCTAACAAAAGGTAAAGTGTCTCTTTTGCCTTTTTTATCTTTTATTTTGGCTTGGTAGAATTTTATTTTTTTAAAGTGTCCCTGAAAATCACTCTCAGTAATCCTATTAATCTCTGAAATTCTTATGTTCAACCCCTGGGCTCTTAGACCAGTCTTCATTAACCTCATTTTATGTTAATTATCCAAAGGAAAAAACCCTATTAAAGAAATCTGAGAGGCTCTTAGTCAATCACCTCCTTTTGTTAAAATTTGGCAGTTACTATCATAAAATTTGACCAGAAGGGATTTTCTCTCATGTATCAAAGTTTCTAAAGTCTTTAACTTTAAAGAATGAATGCCTTCACCTTTAGCAACAAAAACTGGGAATAAAATAATTATCACAAATCAGAGCATTTTCATTTTTAATTTGAAAAGTTTTGGTGATTTAAAAAACATTTCTGGACTCCACACTTCTTAAATAGAAACCGTTATTTCAGCAAATTGAAAACTATATGGACCAGTACTTCCTTTAAGAACTGAAAAAGGTGAAAGAACATATTAAATGCATTAAATTTTGTGATAACACTGGACAGTTACCGAGAGAAAATGTAGGAATAAGAGATAAGACATAGCTTCTTGAATTTGGAAATGTTTATTAAAAAGAGGTGTTTCCTAATTCATTCTTAAAACAAAATTGGGCAAGAAAGTTTGAGTTTTTTTGTAAATTTATGGGCCTTTATAAAGGGACAAATACTAGAAAAAAGGTCCTTCCAAGTCTGAGGGACCAGATAAGTCTCCCAAGTCCTAAGTCTTAATAAGACTGGGGGGAAATAAAAAAAGATGAGCCTTCACAGGGACTGAAGACTAGTTTCAAATAATCTTAATACATAACTAGATGAATGCTATCAATTTCCAGTGTTCCTCACCTACTCACCTGTTAGAAGCAAAGGCAGATCCTCTCTGGAAGATGATATAATCCAGACCATCTAATTATCACTCTACAATTTTTAATATGTAGTGTCTACTGGTTGATTTAAAATCACCAGGTATATGAGAAAACATAGCACCAAAACCCAAGAGAAACAGTGATGTATAGAAAAAGGTGAACAGAGGATACAGATAATGGGAGTATCTCTAGACAAAGCAGAGGAAGGTAGATGCACACTTTGAATAAATAATAGCTAGAAATTTTCCAAATATGCAACAACAAAAACCCTCCAATAAGCTGCAGATTAAAAAACCCTGCAAACCCCAAGCAGGATAAATCCATCCATTGAAAATCACTGCATATCATTGTGCAACTGTTGATAGCCTAAGACAAAGACATGAATTTCAAGGGAAAAGATGGGGGGAAAAAACACTATATAAAGATTGAAAGCTTACTTTTCAACAAAACAAGCAAAGACACACCATAATAAAATATCTCCAAAATGCTAATAGAAAGTAACTGCCAACTTGGAATTCTGCATTCTGTAAAAGTATCTTCAAAAATGAAGGCAAAATAGGACACTTCTAACAAACAAAAAGGGCATTTTTCACTAGCAAACACACTAGAAGAAACACTAATATTTGTTCTTAAGTAAGAAGGAAAATGATTCTACAGGGAAATTTAAAGGACAAGAAGTAATAAAAAAAAAGTAATGAAAGAGTATATACGTGGATTGAGTGACTGATTGAAACAATGGCTGCATAAACATATATAGTATTCAAATGCCTAACATCAATACCATATAAGCCAAGAAGGGATGAAATGGAGTTAGTGCTCTAATTCCTCACCTTGTCAAAAAAGTGGTGTGAGTACTAAATTATACCATCCTTTAATAAGTGAAAATTGCATATTGTGTTAATATCTGACTTAGTAAATATTAAGGCAAGAAGCACCACTAGAGATAAAAACGGACATTTCATAATGACTAAGTTTCAATTAACCAGGAAGACTGTAAGAATTCTAAAATTGAGTGTATTTAAAAACACTCAAAATGTACAAAGTAAAAATGGTAAGTTGAAAGGGGAGACAAATTTATAATTAGAAGATTATAACATACTTCTTTTAGTATATCAGATAAAGGACAAAAAAGTCTACAATATAGAGGATTTGAAAACACAAATTAAGATTAATTTGTAGAGATTGGGAGGGGATAGGAGTATTCTTCCAAATGTGTAACTATTTCTTCTCAAAAACCAAGCTCAAATGCAAGACACTTGTCTCCTATAGTAACCTAATGTGTAATGAATACATAGAGAATGTATTAACAAAATTGGAAAGAAAAAATTTTAGATTTTGAAAGCCATGTTTTGTTTCTTTTCCAAAAATCAGTGACTAGTATAGGTTTCCATGGACAAGGCTAGGAATTCAAAATGCTGATATCCAGATCTGTAACCTGTGTTCCATGATCTCAGGCCAGTTCTAAGGTGAAAAGTAATTTATGGGGCTACTGCTTACATCATTCATCACTTTTGGGATACAGGCTGGGAGCACTTTATATCTCGAGTCAAAGTTACCTCTTGCCATGGGGCAAGGAATTAATAAACGAGGTAACACTGGTTTCCTAAAGATGACTGTGAATATTCAGTAAGCCTGGGGTTTTAATTTGATAATCTCAAAGTCAAATTGTAAATTAAAAATTTTTTATCCAAAGTCCACATTCTAGTAGGTACTATAAATAAATAGTGACTTCCCAAAGGAAAAAAAGGAGAGTCCTTTCTTTTGGTCTTTTAATGTCAATTTTCACAAAAATTTCTGGCTTCTCTACATTATAGACCTGAGCATTCTACACTTTTGCCTTGATATCAGTGTCTTTAGGATAATTAGACAATGACACTTAGCACTCTATTAAGAAATTCCTTTGGTCAATACTATTTTTCCTACCCAGGGCATGAAAAACTCAACAGCCCTAAATTTATAAAGCTGCTTATCCAAAACATGAGACAAGACAGACTACCAAGTCATTCCTTGCATTTGCGGGGGCTTGACAGTCCTAGTATCTGTCCAGTAACTAGGCATGACCATTATACATTGCTCCAACACTTTCTCCAAAGTGTCTCCCCATATTTGTAACTGGCAATCAGCTATGTGACCCAGATACTTGCACTTCTGACTAGATAGAGGAAAGGTGTCTTTGGTTACCTCCTGCTTCTTAGTCATGTGGTAGCCTCACAACTTTGTATCCTCACCCCATGATTGTGGTATTGGGCACTCTACTTCCCCGGATTCAGACTTCTGATGTATACTGAGTTGTGGTTCCCAGCCTAAGGCTCTTCTAAAGTCACTGCATGTATAGGGTTTCTGTTTAGTATGAATTTTCTGGTGTTTAATAAGATTGGATCTGATGGTGAAGGCCTTCCCACATTCAGCACATATATATGGCTTCTCTCCAGTGTGAATTCGATGATGCTCATGGAGTTGTGATTTCTTAATGAAGGCCTTCCCACAGTCACTGCATTCATAGGGTTTCTCTCCAGTATGAATTCTTCGATGTCGATTTAAGTGTGACTTCTGGATGAAGGACTTCCCACATTCAGTACAAAGGTAGGGTTTCTCTCCTGTATGAATTCTCTGATGCATAATAAGAGTCGATTTTCTAGCAAAGGCTTTCCCACATTCACTGCACTCATAATGTCTTTCTCCAGTATGAGACTGCTGATGTATATGGAGGCCTGACTTCCGAGTGAAGGCTTTTCCACAGTCACTGCATTTATAGGGTTTCTCCCCAGTATGAATTTTCTGGTGTGTAAAGAGATTGGATCTGTCAGTGAAAGCCTTCCCACACTCAGCACATCTGTAGGGTTTTTCTCCTGTGTGAATTTGTTGGTGCACATGCAGCTGTGATTTCTTAGTGAAGGATTTGCCACAGTCACTGCATTCATAGGGTTTCTCTCCAGTATGAATTCTCTCATGTGTAATGAAATGTGACCTGTGAAAGAAGGCCTTCCCACATTCAGTACAAACATAGGGTTTTTCTCCTCTGTGAATTCTCTGGTGCATACTTAGTGTGGACTTCTGGATGAAGGCTTTCCCACACTCACTGCACTCATAATGTCTCTCTCCAGTATGACATTTCTGATGTATCCTGAGCCGTGACTTCCAGGTGAATGATTTTCCACAGTCACTGCATTTATAGGGTTTTTCCCCAGTATGAATTTTTTGGTGTTTAATAAGATTTGACCTGTCAGTAAAGGCCTTCCCACATTCAGTACATATATAGGGTCTCTCTCCAGTATGAATTTTCTGGTGTATAATGAGATTCGTCTTATGAGTGAAGACCTTCCCACATTCTGAACATATAAAGGGATTCTCTCCTGTGTGAACTCGCTGATGCACATGGAGTTGTGACTTCTTTATAAAAGACTTCCCACAGTCACTGCACTCATAAGGTTTCTCTCCAGTATGAATTCTCTCATGTGTAATAAAATGTGACTTCCGGATAAAGGCTTTCCCACACTCAGAACATTCATAGGGTTTTTCTCCTGTATGAATTTTATGATGCATACTTAGTGTTGACTTTCTTGTAAAGGCTTTTCCACATTCAATACATTTAAAGTGTTTCTCTCCAGTATGAATTTTTTTACATATACTGAGGTTTGCATTCTGAAAGATATTTTCCCCACATTTACTGTAGTCATAGGATTTTTCTTTTGTATGAATTTCCTGGTATCTGAGCAGATCTGACTTCTGGTTAAAGGCTTTTCCATATTCATTGCATTTAGAGTGATTCTCCACAGTATGAGTTTTTTCATTGTTTGACTTGAGAGAAAAGTCCTTCCTATATTCAGTGCATATATAGGGTTTCTCTCCTGTATAAACTTTCTGATGTACAGCAAATTGAGATTTCTGAGTGAAGACTATATCACATTTGTTGCACTCATGATGCTGTTTCTCTTCAGTATAAATACTCTCATGTGCAAAGAGGTGTGACTTCTTGGTGAAAAATTTTACACAGTCAGAAAATAAATAGAGGTGCTTCTCAGCATGAAGTTTCTCATCTTGAATGAGAGCTTGTGTATGATTAAGAAGTTTCTTACACTGATCACATTCACAAGCATTCATTTCTGTATAAAAATTCATATGAGTGAAAATATTTCCATATCCAATGATCTTATCAAGATTTTGTGTTGTTTTGTTTGTATTATATGTACATAAGTTTACAGTTGGCTTCAAACTTTTTCCAAATGAATCATAGTTATGGAGTCTTTTTCTTGAAGGAATAAGGTGTGCATTTACATGAACTATTTTCCCAATATCCTTATATTCACACTTCTCAGCTGGTGTTTCCCTGTTGTTGAAGGAAACATGACTTAAGTTTTTATTCTGGTTTTCCTCATATCTCCTTGTCTGTTCATCATCTTGCCACAATACTTCTAAAATGGAATATGGGTTATCTCTTGGGAAGAGATTAATTTTCTCAAACTGGATTTTAACTTCTTTAGACATTCCTTTTTGTGAAGTTTCAAAATGAATATCGCCATCTAAAAGAGAAAGAAAAATAAAACACACAAAGAACAGTTAGCAAAATATAGAAGGAATGACAAATAGTTCAGATTCTGGGTGAACACAGAGAAATGGGATAGAGCCTGTCTATGGAATATAACTGTATATGTATATATAAGAGTACTAAGTGCCAAGCACCTGGCTGCCTCAGAACAACTGATCTTTCCAGTCTCATTTGTCATTAGGTGAAGCTACATAATTCAGTTCCCACCAATCAAGTGTGAGTAAAAATCACGTTTGTTTTGAAAAGGCCAATGTCAAGGAAGTGGGTGTGTCTACCCAAATCCTCTTCTCTTCCTGCTGATTTTATTCTATACCTGCAGCAGCACAGCTCCATGCAGCTGGCAACACCCTATGCAGAGGTCAGGAAACTAAATCTAAGGCTGTACACAAAAGCTTAGATTGGATTTTACATTTTGAATGGTTCAAAAAAATCAAAGGAAGAAATACTTCATGACATCTGAAAGTTATATGAAATTCAAATTTCTGTGCCCATGAAGTTCTTATTGGAACACAGTCACATCTCTTCATTGATGTATTGTCTATAGATGCTTTGGGGCTACAACAGCAAAACTGAGTAGTTATGACAGCAATCGTGTGGTTCACAAAGTCTAAAATATTCACTTCTGCGCTTTTACAGAGAATGTTTACAATCCCTGCTCTAGGGGATGGTGCACAATTATTTTCTAGAAACTTTGTCTCTGAAAGGCCATCAGAAGCAGAGTTTCCTAGCATACCTGAACTGCTCACTTTGGAACTATCATGTGATGGGTCAGTGTTTATGTTCCCTAAGACTGCTTCTTGGGGTCTCTCAGTGACAGGAGTTTGGCTTTATTCTACTACTAATACCATTCTTGCTCAGAATAAGAATCACTAATATTCCAAATTCCAGAGTAGCCTATAAGACATGGTAGATCCTCAGTAAATATTTATGTTAACGAAAAATATTACTAACTTATTCTACTAGAATTCTTTAATACTGACACAGTCTAACCCTATATCCATTTTATTCTGTCTCTCACCCTATTACATTGTTATTCACATTAATGGCTTTCATTAATCCTGAGGGCATCTAATACTGGATTCCTAAACATGGAGTTTGACCTTTTGAAACCTTTCACTTTCTGTAGTCTGCAAACACATTATTATGTCTGACAACAATTACATTACCACCAACAATGTTCAATGTAAAAATCTGCACCTTTAGTAAGTTTAGTTGTGTATAATTTCTCTGTCACAACTTATTCAACTACTCATTCAATAAGAAAAGGGTCATAATTCAGGCCAACGAAGTGTGTATAGGTAAGTTATCTTTCCAAGTTACTGAAGTATATTTTATTACTGATTCCAAACATATATTGTCCTTTTCTCCATTCTGCTTTCTTTCTAGTCCTCTGTTTCTAGTTAAAATTCACTGTTCATCATGCATCATGTAGGATTCTATGCCCAGAACACTAACCTCAAACTCAGCGCAACTCTAGGGAGGCTCTTTGCTTTAATTTTAAAAAAAGACAGCAACAAACACCAGATATTCTGAGCCACTCATGATCATACTTAACTGACACAGACATGTGCCATAACAAATGCTTAATGCACAAAGGCTGAAATTTAAAACATTTCATGCAATCATATTCCCTTTCCAGCAACAATTATTCATCCTTTGAATTGCTCCTAGCAGAAAAAATTTTAAAGCTCTCTGAAATAGAGAAAAATAACATCCTCTGCATAGTACACAAATTCAAGAATTTAATTTTGCTACATATTCTCTAAAGAAACAACAACCAAAAAAAAAAAGGAGCAAAACATTAAAATGAAGTAAACACAATTACGTAAATTAAACGGAGACAAATGTGAATTGCAATACTTCTTTTAGTATATCAGATAAAGGACAAAAAAGTCTACAATATAGAGGATTTGAAAACACAAATTAAGATTAATTTGTAGAGATTGGGAGGGGATAGGAGTATTCTTCCAAATGTGTAACTATTTCTTCTCAAAAACCAAGCTCAAATGCAAGACACTTGTCTCCTATAGTAACCTAATGTGTAATGAATACATAGAGAATGTATTAACAAAATTGGAAAGAAAAAATTTTAGATTTTGAAAGCCATGTTTTGTTTCTTTTCCAAAAATCAGTGACTAGTATAGGTTTCCATGGACAAGGCTAGGAATTCAAAATGCTGATATCCAGATCTGTAACCTGTGTTCCATGATCTCAGGCCAGTTCTAAGGTGAAAAGTAATTTATGGGGCTACTGCTTACATCATTCATCACTTTTGGGATACAGGCTGGGAGCACTTTATATCTCGAGTCAAAGTTACCTCTTGCCATGGGGCAAGGAATTAATAAACGAGGTAACACTGGTTTCCTAAAGATGACTGTGAATATTCAGTAAGCCTGGGGTTTTAATTTGATAATCTCAAAGTCAAATTGTAAATTAAAAATTTTTTATCCAAAGTCCACATTCTAGTAGGTACTATAAATAAATAGTGACTTCCCAAAGGAAAAAAAGGAGAGTCCTTTCTTTTGGTCTTTTAATGTCAATTTTCACAAAAATTTCTGGCTTCTCTACATTATAGACCTGAGCATTCTACACTTTTGCCTTGATATCAGTGTCTTTAGGATAATTAGACAATGACACTTAGCACTCTATTAAGAAATTCCTTTGGTCAATACTATTTTTCCTACCCAGGGCATGAAAAACTCAACAGCCCTAAATTTATAAAGCTGCTTATCCAAAACATGAGACAAGACAGACTACCAAGTCATTCCTTGCATTTGCGGGGGCTTGACAGTCCTAGTATCTGTCCAGTAACTAGGCATGACCATTATACATTGCTCCAACACTTTCTCCAAAGTGTCTCCCCATATTTGTAACTGGCAATCAGCTATGTGACCCAGATACTTGCACTTCTGACTAGATAGAGGAAAGGTGTCTTTGGTTACCTCCTGCTTCTTAGTCATGTGGTAGCCTCACAACTTTGTATCCTCACCCCATGATTGTGGTATTGGGCACTCTACTTCCCCGGATTCAGACTTCTGATGTATACTGAGTTGTGGTTCCCAGCCTAAGGCTCTTCTAAAGTCACTGCATGTATAGGGTTTCTGTTTAGTATGAATTTTCTGGTGTTTAATAAGATTGGATCTGATGGTGAAGGCCTTCCCACATTCAGCACATATATATGGCTTCTCTCCAGTGTGAATTCGATGATGCTCATGGAGTTGTGATTTCTTAATGAAGGCCTTCCCACAGTCACTGCATTCATAGGGTTTCTCTCCAGTATGAATTCTTCGATGTCGATTTAAGTGTGACTTCTGGATGAAGGACTTCCCACATTCAGTACAAAGGTAGGGTTTCTCTCCTGTATGAATTCTCTGATGCATAATAAGAGTCGATTTTCTAGCAAAGGCTTTCCCACATTCACTGCACTCATAATGTCTTTCTCCAGTATGAGACTGCTGATGTATATGGAGGCCTGACTTCCGAGTGAAGGCTTTTCCACAGTCACTGCATTTATAGGGTTTCTCCCCAGTATGAATTTTCTGGTGTGTAAAGAGATTGGATCTGTCAGTGAAAGCCTTCCCACACTCAGCACATCTGTAGGGTTTTTCTCCTGTGTGAATTTGTTGGTGCACATGCAGCTGTGATTTCTTAGTGAAGGATTTGCCACAGTCACTGCATTCATAGGGTTTCTCTCCAGTATGAATTCTCTCATGTGTAATGAAATGTGACCTGTGAAAGAAGGCCTTCCCACATTCAGTACAAACATAGGGTTTTTCTCCTCTGTGAATTCTCTGGTGCATACTTAGTGTGGACTTCTGGATGAAGGCTTTCCCACACTCACTGCACTCATAATGTCTCTCTCCAGTATGACATTTCTGATGTATCCTGAGCCGTGACTTCCAGGTGAATGATTTTCCACAGTCACTGCATTTATAGGGTTTTTCCCCAGTATGAATTTTTTGGTGTTTAATAAGATTTGACCTGTCAGTAAAGGCCTTCCCACATTCAGTACATATATAGGGTCTCTCTCCAGTATGAATTTTCTGGTGTATAATGAGATTCGTCTTATGAGTGAAGACCTTCCCACATTCTGAACATATAAAGGGATTCTCTCCTGTGTGAACTCGCTGATGCACATGGAGTTGTGACTTCTTTATAAAAGACTTCCCACAGTCACTGCACTCATAAGGTTTCTCTCCAGTATGAATTCTCTCATGTGTAATAAAATGTGACTTCCGGATAAAGGCTTTCCCACACTCAGAACATTCATAGGGTTTTTCTCCTGTATGAATTTTATGATGCATACTTAGTGTTGACTTTCTTGTAAAGGCTTTTCCACATTCAATACATTTAAAGTGTTTCTCTCCAGTATGAATTTTTTTACATATACTGAGGTTTGCATTCTGAAAGATATTTTCCCCACATTTACTGTAGTCATAGGATTTTTCTTTTGTATGAATTTCCTGGTATCTGAGCAGATCTGACTTCTGGTTAAAGGCTTTTCCATATTCATTGCATTTAGAGTGATTCTCCACAGTATGAGTTTTTTCATTGTTTGACTTGAGAGAAAAGTCCTTCCTATATTCAGTGCATATATAGGGTTTCTCTCCTGTATAAACTTTCTGATGTACAGCAAATTGAGATTTCTGAGTGAAGACTATATCACATTTGTTGCACTCATGATGCTGTTTCTCTTCAGTATAAATACTCTCATGTGCAAAGAGGTGTGACTTCTTGGTGAAAAATTTTACACAGTCAGAAAATAAATAGAGGTGCTTCTCAGCATGAAGTTTCTCATCTTGAATGAGAGCTTGTGTATGATTAAGAAGTTTCTTACACTGATCACATTCACAAGCATTCATTTCTGTATAAAAATTCATATGAGTGAAAATATTTCCATATCCAATGATCTTATCAAGATTTTGTGTTGTTTTGTTTGTATTATATGTACATAAGTTTACAGTTGGCTTCAAACTTTTTCCAAATGAATCATAGTTATGGAGTCTTTTTCTTGAAGGAATAAGGTGTGCATTTACATGAACTATTTTCCCAATATCCTTATATTCACACTTCTCAGCTGGTGTTTCCCTGTTGTTGAAGGAAACATGACTTAAGTTTTTATTCTGGTTTTCCTCATATCTCCTTGTCTGTTCATCATCTTGCCACAATACTTCTAAAATGGAATATGGGTTATCTCTTGGGAAGAGATTAATTTTCTCAAACTGGATTTTAACTTCTTTAGACATTCCTTTTTGTGAAGTTTCAAAATGAATATCGCCATCTAAAAGAGAAAGAAAAATAAAACACACAAAGAACAGTTAGCAAAATATAGAAGGAATGACAAATAGTTCAGATTCTGGGTGAACACAGAGAAATGGGATAGAGCCTGTCTATGGAATATAACTGTATATGTATATATAAGAGTACTAAGTGCCAAGCACCTGGCTGCCTCAGAACAACTGATCTTTCCAGTCTCATTTGTCATTAGGTGAAGCTACATAATTCAGTTCCCACCAATCAAGTGTGAGTAAAAATCACGTTTGTTTTGAAAAGGCCAATGTCAAGGAAGTGGGTGTGTCTACCCAAATCCTCTTCTCTTCCTGCTGATTTTATTCTATACCTGCAGCAGCACAGCTCCATGCAGCTGGCAACACCCTATGCAGAGGTCAGGAAACTAAATCTAAGGCTGTACACAAAAGCTTAGATTGGATTTTACATTTTGAATGGTTCAAAAAAATCAAAGGAAGAAATACTTCATGACATCTGAAAGTTATATGAAATTCAAATTTCTGTGCCCATGAAGTTCTTATTGGAACACAGTCACATCTCTTCATTGATGTATTGTCTATAGATGCTTTGGGGCTACAACAGCAAAACTGAGTAGTTATGACAGCAATCGTGTGGTTCACAAAGTCTAAAATATTCACTTCTGCGCTTTTACAGAGAATGTTTACAATCCCTGCTCTAGGGGATGGTGCACAATTATTTTCTAGAAACTTTGTCTCTGAAAGGCCATCAGAAGCAGAGTTTCCTAGCATACCTGAACTGCTCACTTTGGAACTATCATGTGATGGGTCAGTGTTTATGTTCCCTAAGACTGCTTCTTGGGGTCTCTCAGTGACAGGAGTTTGGCTTTATTCTACTACTAATACCATTCTTGCTCAGAATAAGAATCACTAATATTCCAAATTCCAGAGTAGCCTATAAGACATGGTAGATCCTCAGTAAATATTTATGTTAACGAAAAATATTACTAACTTATTCTACTAGAATTCTTTAATACTGACACAGTCTAACCCTATATCCATTTTATTCTGTCTCTCACCCTATTACATTGTTATTCACATTAATGGCTTTCATTAATCCTGAGGGCATCTAATACTGGATTCCTAAACATGGAGTTTGACCTTTTGAAACCTTTCACTTTCTGTAGTCTGCAAACACATTATTATGTCTGACAACAATTACATTACCACCAACAATGTTCAATGTAAAAATCTGCACCTTTAGTAAGTTTAGTTGTGTATAATTTCTCTGTCACAACTTATTCAACTACTCATTCAATAAGAAAAGGGTCATAATTCAGGCCAACGAAGTGTGTATAGGTAAGTTATCTTTCCAAGTTACTGAAGTATATTTTATTACTGATTCCAAACATATATTGTCCTTTTCTCCATTCTGCTTTCTTTCTAGTCCTCTGTTTCTAGTTAAAATTCACTGTTCATCATGCATCATGTAGGATTCTATGCCCAGAACACTAACCTCAAACTCAGCGCAACTCTAGGGAGGCTCTTTGCTTTAATTTTAAAAAAAGACAGCAACAAACACCAGATATTCTGAGCCACTCATGATCATACTTAACTGACACAGACATGTGCCATAACAAATGCTTAATGCACAAAGGCTGAAATTTAAAACATTTCATGCAATCATATTCCCTTTCCAGCAACAATTATTCATCCTTTGAATTGCTCCTAGCAGAAAAAATTTTAAAGCTCTCTGAAATAGAGAAAAATAACATCCTCTGCATAGTACACAAATTCAAGAATTTAATTTTGCTACATATTCTCTAAAGAAACAACAACCAAAAAAAAAAAGGAGCAAAACATTAAAATGAAGTAAACACAATTACGTAAATTAAACGGAGACAAATGTGAATTGCAAATATGAGGAATGTTTTTCCTTTAGCTTACCAGCCAACTGAGAGAAGATTTGTCATAGGTTGGATAATAGTAGTAACTTGAGTTTTGCTCTATATATAATAGCTATGACAGGATAAACAATGCTTTAAGCAACGAAATCTATGAGCAGCATCTAAGATAAGCATTTAAAAAACTCGGGGGGAATCAACACATCTAAATAGGGTTAGAAAAATCGAGGCAGGAGGAAATATAGACATGGTTTTAGGTGATATCACCTAAAGGTGATTTAGAGGACAAAAGCATCTAAATGATATTTTCTACAAGAGAATAATTAGTAGAAAGAGCAGGAAGAATGGTCTGAGAGGATGAGTCACAGGGAAAGGCAAAAAACAATTAACAGAATATGACATTTTGGAAGGTGAGCCATCCGTTCCTAACATATGGCACTGTACCCACTCTTCCCCCACATATTCCTCCCTGATGGGCCCTTACATGCACAAGGTATCAGCAGTTCCCTGAGGGCTTAGAAACAGGGGCCAATGCCTGCTTGAGACACACAACCAACAGTAGCAGGGAAAAGACCCATTCCCCTGAGCCAGGTATCAGTGACAGCTTATGCTGGAATTGAGACACATGATTCAACCTGAGACACACAGATAGTTCCAGGCTGACACACACAACCCTAGATTTGGTTCAGACATCAAAAGTGGTGATGCAATGCATGCCAAGAAGATATGAAAGTTTCATTGCTCGATAATGAGTCTTCACAGAGAAAGCTCCCAAGCAGGTCCAAAGTCACTTGAGAGAGCAAGAGAGACTGACTGGGTTTTTTATGTCAATTGTAGGGTAAGGCCAGGCTGATTTTCCCCATACCACTTCTTGCCAATGCCAAGGGAGGGAGCACCTGACCTTTCTTATCAGTTTGCCCAGATGTGGGGCAGAAGGGGAAAAGAAAGGGGTGAAGCTTTCATTTCATAAAAAATAAAGTCAGATGTGACACTAAAGCACAGGCAACAAAAACAAAAATCAACAAGTGACAACATCAAACTAAAAAGCTTCTGCACAGCAACACAGAGAAGACAGGTAGTGATTCTACAGCATCTTACTACGCTGATGGACAGTGACTGTAATGGGGTTTGTGGAGGGGGCTTGGTGAAGGGGGGAGCCTAGTAAACATAATGTTCTTCATGTAACTGTAGATTAGTGATAACAAAATTTAAAAAAGCTTTTGCATAGCAAAGGAAGCCATAAACAAAGTGGAAAGAAAATCAGTATATAACTGATAAGGTGTTCATATCCAAAAAATATGTAAGAATTGATGCAACTCAACAGCAGAAAATCCATCTACTTAAAAATTGGGCAAAGGACCTGAATGGACATTTCTCCAAAGAAGACATATGAAAGGCCACGTGTGCATGAAAAGCTGCTAAACATCCCTGATCATAAGGGAAATGCAAGTTAAAACACAATGTGGTATGACCTCACACCTGTTAGAATGACCATCATCCAAAAGACAAGACATAACAAACACTGGTGAGCATGTAGAGAAAAGGGAACCCCTGTGCAGGTGGTGATATTGTAAACTGGTGCAGCCACTATGGAAAACAGAATGGAGTTTCCTCCAGAAATTAAAACTAGAACTACCATACGACCAAGCAATTCCAATTCTGGCTATTTATCCAAAGGAAATAAAAACACTAACTCAAAAAGAATTCTAGACCCCCATATTCATAGCAGCATAATTTACAATAGCCCAGACATGGAATATTAAGTGTCCACTGACGGATGAATAAAGAAGCTGTGGTCTGTATACACAATGGAATATTATTCAACCAACCAACCAACCAACAAACAAACAAGGAAATCCTATCTTTTGTGACATCACATATAGACCTTGAGGACATTGTGCTAAGTGAGATAAGACAGAAAAAGACAAATACTGTATGATTTCACTTATGTGTGGAATCTCAAAAAAAAAAAAACTCATAGAAAAGAGATCAGAGGTGGAGGGGAGAGGGAGAGGGAATTGGAGGAAGGTGATCAAAAAGTACAAACTTCGAGTTGTAAGATAAATAAGTCCTAGGGACGTAATATCCAACATAACTATAGCTAACACAGTAGCAAGACATGTAAGTTCTTAAAGGAGTAAATCCTGAGTTCCCATCACAAGGAAAAATTTTCTTCCTTCCTTCTTTTCTTTTTATGGTAACTATATAAGATGGATGTTAGCTGAACCTATGGTGACAATCATTTCACAATATAAGTAAATCAAACCATGCAGTACACCTTAAACTTATACAGAGGTGTATGTCAATTGTATCTCAATAAAACTGTAAAGAAAAATGAAGTCAGAAGTTATTACAAGATACATGATGAATGTTCAAAATATTTTATTAGAAAAACAAATTAAAACAATAATTAAAACTTAAAATCCATTAGATTAGCTAAATTATTAGAATTTTTGGCAGTGTAGAGAAACTAATACCCTTGTACACTCAGGAGTTTGTAGACTGAAACATCCAAACTAGAAAATACAGTGGTCATACTTAGTCAAATAAATCACTAGCGCACCCAGTGATAAAACAATCCCACCATCCTTCCCCAAGAAATTCTCATTTCCCAGAAGAATAGTTCATGAAACAATTACTGCAGTACTGAGTGTAGTAGCTGGGAAGTTGGGGAAGTGAAATGTGGTGCATATCCATACTATGGAAGGCTATCCACCAGAAGCAATGAACTAGAAAAACACATTGCAGCAAGAACCCATCTAGTGGAAGAGGGAAAAAATTAAGAAAAGGAGTAGGATATATAGCATGCACCATTCCTATAAATTAAAAATACCAACTTAATTCTTACAAATATTCTGCAGATTCAAGGATAGAGAAAAACTTCCTATCCTTGAGAGTATCAAATGTACTAGAGCAGGCACCTCTGGGGAGGATAAACACTGACTATGGGGAGTGAGGCTTAAAAGGTATAAAGAAATAAAGAGGAGAGGCTTAAGCACATTGGTGACCTTATCAACTGCAGTTACCTCAACTTCCTGCACACCAGCTACAAAAACTTTTTGCAAAATAAATCAGTTTTATGTAAAATAAGTAAATTTTTATCTAAATAAATAAGTCAGAAAGACCAAGTCAGTATTGCATTACACTAGCCAAGTAGAAAGAAAATTTCAGGAAGCATAATTACTAATATCACACACATCAAAAAGTTCTCCCCTAAATGTAGTGATGATACCCTCAGAGCCAACATTTGGAGGAGCAGAGGTATGGGAGATGATAAGATAAGGCCACCTTCGGATGACAGTTCTGAAGCACCAAGGAAAAGAGAGAAAGTGAAAAGAAACCAGCAGGTGTGTGACCCACCGTAAGTTTCTTAAAAGGTACACCTATGAGTATCTGAATGGGTGAGAAGATTAAAGACCTTGATGTGATTGTGAAAAACCAAAAAAATATGATCCTAGCTATTTTAATACATTCCCTCTGAAAGTGGGGGTGGCACAAAAACTTCCAAGGGGCCAAAATCAACTCTTATCCACACAGTCCCAAAAGTTTAGAATGTTACAGAAAACACTGTCAGCAGAATTTCAGAGCTGCCATTATGGCAGAGTTCAAGCACACTGTCTCCCATGCTCTTAGTTCCCTACTCACCTAGCCAGCTTGGCCTTGATATTTCACCAACCAACATGCATGGGTCTTCTCCTTTCTCCACATTGAAAATGACTTCTGGTTTGGGAACTTGACAACCTATTAGCAGCAAATAATAGAAGACTCAATTTCAGAGGCTATACAATAAAGTGTTCCATTTACTTTTCAGAAAAGTTCACAGGAAAGAGAGGTATATTCATAATACTCTAAAGAGATTATTAAGAACACAGGCTAAAGTCAGATGCCCTGCAGTCTTTATTTGGAACTGCCACATACCCTACAAATACCACAGATTTTAGAAATTCCATTGAGAAAGAAAATACACTCAAACAGGTACAGCCTTATCTTCAGCAGAGCTCTGCTTACCCACTGAGATCAAGTTAAAATAGTTTTCCACCATTACATCCCTGTAGAGGCTTTTCTGAGCACAGTCCAATTGTTGCCACTCCTCTCTGCTGAACGCTACAGTCACATCCTTGAATGACACTGACACCTGTAAAAACAGACTCCTGTTCAGCGTGAAGAGTCAGGATTGCTGGATGGGAACAAGACATTTGTACTTACCTTTAATAATTTTGAACATGATACAACATATAAGATTCTGACTATTTTTTACATTACTATTTTGAAGGGAAAAATAACTTTAAAAAACATCATGCTATTCTTTCTGTGATAACGATTTTTTTTTGTTTTTTTGCTTTGTTTTTATCTCTATGCTGGTTACAAAGGAATAAGCTATGAAAATTCATCAAGCTGTAGACATATCATTTGTGCATTCTTTTCTATATATGCCATGTTTCATTAACACTTCAGTTAAAAAAGATAATATATTCTGCCATACATTTTGCACCCATTAATTCACTGAATAAATCTTTTATTTTTAAAAAATGATTACATGGATGGAGCTAGAGGGTATTATGCTCAGTGAAATAAGCCAGGCGTGGAAAGACAAGTACCAAATGCTTTCACTCATATGTGGAGTATAAGAACAAAGAAAAACTGAAGGAACAAAACAGCAGCAGAATCACAGAACCCAAGAAGGGACTAACAGTTACCAAAGGGAAAGGGACTGGGGAGGATGGGTGGGAAGGGAGGGATAAGGGCGGGGAAAAAGAAAGGGGGCATTACGATTAGCATGTATAGTGGGGGGGGGAGCACAGGGAGGGCTGTGCAATACAGAGAAGACAACTAGTGATTTTACAGCATCTTACTACCCAGATGGACAGTAACTGTGAACAGGTATGTGGGGGGGGGACTTGGTGAAGGGGGAAGCCTAGTAAACACAATGTCCTTCATGTAATTGTAAATTAATTATACCAAAAAAAAATGATTAAAAATAGGCTTTTTTCAAAACCAGTGTGGTATAAGCATAGACAAGTTGGAATGTAATAGAGAATCCAGATGAACCCTTATTTATAGTCATTCGGGAAAATAGTCTTCACTAGGACAAATGGATATCCACATGCAAAAGAATGAAGTTGGATCCCGACCTCATGCCACATAAAAAAAAACAATAAACTCAAAATGGATCAAAATGGATTTGGCCAAACATATTTTAGCAAAAAGGGGTAAATAGTTGTGACACTGCATTTAGCAATGATTTTCTTAGATATAAAATCAAAAGCATAAGCAAAGAATGAAAAATACAGATAAACTAAACTTCATTAAAATTGAAAACTTTGTTGAAAGACCTCTACCCTGAAAACTACAAGACACTCATGGGAGAAATTAAAGATGACACCAATAACTGGAAATACATCCTGTGCTCATGGACAGGAAGAATACTGTCAAAATGTCCATTCCGCCTAAAGCAATCTACAGATTCAATGCAATCCCTATGTAAACACCAACAGCATTCTTCACTGAAGTAGAAAAAATAGTTCTAAAATTAAAATAGAATCACAAAAGACACCAAATAGACAAAGCAATCCTGAGAAGGAAGAATAAAGCTGGAGGGATTGTGCTCCCCAACTTCAAGCCCCACTACAAAGCCACAGTAATCAAGACAATTTGGTACTGGCCCAAGAACAGACCCACAAACCAACAGAACAGACTAGAGAGCCCAGATATAAACCCAAGCATATATGGTCAATTGATATATGATAAAGGAGCCATGGACATACAATGGGGAAATGACAACCTCTTCAACAACTGGTGTTGGCAAGACTGCACGGCTACATGCAAGAGAATAAAACTGGTTACTGCCGAACTGCATGCACAAAAGTTAAACTTATAATGGATGAAAGACCTGAATATATGTCATGAAACCATAACACTCTAAGAGAAAAACATGGGCAAAAATCTCTTAAATATAAACATGGGCAAGTTTTTCCTGAACGAACCTCCTTGGGCAAGGCAAACAAAATAAAAAACAAACAAATGGGACTACAACCATGCTAAAAAGGTTCTGTACAGCAAAGGACACCATCAGCAGTACAAAAGGCATCCTACAGTATGGGAGAATATATTTGTAAATGATATATCCAACAAGGGGTTAACACCCAAAATATATAAAGAACTCACGGAAATAACCCTGTTAAATAATGGGCAAAAGATACGAACAGACACTTCTCCAAAGACGAAATTCAGATGGACAACAGACACATGAAAAGATGCTCCACATTGTTGATTATCAGGGAAATGCAAATGAAAACCACAATGAGCTATAATCTCACACCAATTCGGATGGCCAACATAGACAAGACGAGAAACAACAAATGCTGGTGAGGATGTGCAGAAAGAGGAACCCTCCTACACTGCTGGTGGGACTATAAATTAGTTCAACCATTGTGGAAAGCAGTATGGAGGTTCCTCAAAAAACTGAAAATAGAAATACCACTTGACCCAAGAATTCCACTCCTGGGAATTTACTCTAAGAAAACAAGATACCCGATTTAAAAAGACATATGAACACTATTAAGAGAACTGCGTGACCAGTCCAAAAGGAACAATATCCGCAATATAGGGGTACAAGAAGAAGAGAGAGAAAAGGGATAGAATATTAAGAGAACTGCGTGACCAGTCCAAAAGGAACAATATCCGCAATATAGGGGTA